TTTTTTTTTTGGTGGCTAATGGGAGATAAGAATTTCACGGACCTTTTCCTGCTTGGGCTGGTTTTGAACCATAACCCTCAGATCTCAGCCCCCTGAGTAGCTGGATTTACAGGTGTGAGCCACCAGGGCCCTGCTAAAGGTGGACTTTTTTTTTTTTTTGGTCGGTGGTGGGGCCTGAATTCTAGCTCTGGGTGCTCTCCCTCAGCTCTTCAGCTCAAGGTGAGCACTCTACCACTTGAGCCGTAGCACCACTTTCGGCTTTTTCTGCTTATGTGGTGCTGAGGAATCAAACCTAGGGCCTCATGCATGCAAGGCAAGCACTCTACCACCGAGCCTCCTTCCCAGCCCCGACATTTTTTACTATCAAAAGATGGTTTGATCGTTAAAATAAGACAGCTGGATAGCAAATAAAAAGACTAAAAATCATAAGTACCAGTAAATAAACAATCTTTTCCAAACAGAATTTCCTGGTTGTAATATTTAATTAGACAAAATAGGAGTCAATTTCTTGATCCTTCACTGTAAAACATGTGTGGTTGAATTGATAAAGAAGCTCAGCAATAAGATACTTTGCTCAGGAGTCTCCATGGGAACAGTATCTCTGCCAACGTTTTTTATTCCTGCACAACAGATTTTTAAAAAGAGGAACCCCAATTTTATAGCAAACTACAGTCCTTGGCGAGTAATTTCTTTTTCCATGCTTTTCTAAATATCAGGAAAGTAAAAAAATAAATAAAAGATGTGCTATTTAGAAATTTACTTACTGTTTAATGATATGAAACAGGATTCCTAGAAGAGAGAAAACAGAAACTCCTGTGTTATCTTAAGAAAAATCACTGTGTAACTGTTGTTATAGGAACCAGTGTTTTAAGAGGGATATTAATTACTAATCTTTTTTTGTTTTGCTGGTCCTAGGGCTTGAACTCTGGGCCTGGGCGCTGTCCCTGAGCTCTTCATCTTAAGGCGAGCGCTCTACTACTTGAGCCACAGCACCATTTCCAGTTTTCTGGTGGTTTATTTATTTTTATTTATTTATTATTTTTTTGAGTCTGGTCGTGGGGCCTGAACTCTGGGCCTGGGTGCTGTCCCTCAGCTCTTCAGCACAAGGCTAGCACTCTACCACTTGAGCCATAGCGCCACTTCCGGCTTTTTTCTTTTTGCTTACGTGGTGCTGAGGAATCGAACCCAGGGCCTCATGCATGCAAGGCAAGTGCTCTACCCACTGAACCACCTTCCCAGCCCCTCTGGTGGTTTATTGAAGTTAAGCGTCTCAGGGACTTTCCTGCCTGGGCTGGCTTTGAACCGTGATCCTCAGATCTCAACCTCCTAAGTAGCTAGGATTACAGGCATGAGCCACCAGCACCTGGCATTAATGGTTTTCTGTTTTGTTTTTTTTTTGTTTTTTGCTGATCCTGGGGCTTGAACTGAAGTCCTGGGTGCTGTCCCTGAGCCTCTTTGTGCTCAAAGCTAGTACTCTACCATTTGAGCCACAGCACCACTTCCAGCTTTTTCTGAGTTATTTATTGGAGATAAGAGACTCATGGACTTTCCTGTTTAGGGCTGGCTTCGAACTGTGATTCTCAGATCTCAGCCTCTCCTGAGTATCTAATGTTACAGACATGAGCCACTAGTGCCTGGCTTCAATTACTTGTCTTTAGAAATTGATCTAACAAGGTAACTATCAGAACTATCAGGAGGCAGGAGAATGTTTTGCCATTGTTGCTCAGTTTTAGGGCAGATCCTATCTCCTTTTTACTTAGTTTCCTTTCCTATATATTGATAATGATGGCTGCTAATGGAAACTGCTTCTGAAATGGGTCTGTAAGTTGCAAATGATGTATATGTAATGATACACATATTATCTCATTTATTTATTTTTTGCTTTGAAAGATTGTAAATAGAGCGTTTGGAAAGCAGAGAAAACTGGAAAAGGGAATTTTCTAATACTAACATGCCTGATTTTGAAATTTGAAATAAACTAACCTTTTAAAGTTTGATGACACCATACCAAGGTTCATTGACAACTGGCCCAACTAGTGTTTCTTTTTCTTTAACAAATGTTTAATAACAAAATAAAAAGGACTTGTTTTATCATTGCTAAACGTTTGACAGCAAGGGAGTTTTATACAATAGTTACAATAGGTATTTCAGTTAAAAAAAACGGGTTAAGCCAGGGATGGTAGTTTATGCCTATAATTCCAACACTCCGAAAATGGAGGTGGGGATTGCAAATTGAATTAAAATCTCAGGGCCACTCTTCTCTACTACTCACCCTTCCCCGGGCCCTTTATTACAAAAAAAAAAAAAAAAAAAACCTCCAAATGAACAGAACCTAGAGTGTTATAAGCATTTTGATGGCTAGCTAAGTGCCAGTGGCTCACGCCTATAATCCTAGTTACTCAGGAGGCTGAAATCTGAGGATCGTGGTTGAAAGCCAGCCTAGGCAGGAAGGCTTTGAGACTCCACTAAACTGCCAAAAAAAGCCAGAAATAGGACTGTGGCTCAGGTGGAAGAGCATTAGCCTTGAGCAGAAGAGCTCAGGAACAGTGCCCAGACCTTGAGTTCAAGCCTCAGGACTGGCACTCGCGTGTGCGCGTGCGCACGCGCGCTCGCGCGCACACACACGTCTGGCCCAGTGTGAGTGGTTCATGCCTATAGCCTATAGGACTTTAGAACAATCTTGAATGGAAACGGCAAAAGTGGCCTTACTTCTTTCACTTTTAGTGAACTTTTAGTCTTTATTGTGTATGATGATAGCTCTCAGTTTGCCATAGAGGCATTCATGGTATTTATTGAGATTATTTTTAAAATCATGCAAGGGTGTTGAATTCTGTCTAGTGCTTTTATGCTGGTGAAATAACACATGGTGTATTTTATTGATTTAGAATGTTGAACTATTTTATATTCCAAGAATTCTACTTGGATAGTGATACATACAATTTTTATTTTTGTGGTAATGAGGATTTAACCCAGTACTAGTGCTACCTGTACCACTGAGCTACCTTACCAGCCATACAGTCCTTTTAGTTCAGTCAGCTAGAGTATCGTTGAAACTTGAAGCGTTTTAAAACTGAAAGTTAGCCTTTCGTTTTCTTTAAGAGGCAGTACTGGGTTTTGAACTCAGGGCCTCAAACTTGCTGGTCTTTTTCCGTTGGCTGTGTTCTGCCACTTGGACCACACCTCCAGCCCCACTTTTTGTGGTTATTTTGCAGTATAGCCTCTGGTCTTTGTGATGTTGCTGTCCTTCAATTCTGGTCCTCTGGATTTCACCTTTCTGATTTGTTAAGATTATAGAAGTAAGCCACCTGAGTCTTATCAATGTGTTTGTTTTAGTAAATATAACACCAGCCTAGGTCCGAGGTTCTCATACTTATAAGCCTAGCTACAAGGACGGTAGGGATTGGGAGGATTAGAGTTGGGGCCAGCCCCAACAGTTTGCAAGACCCCTTCTCAGTAGCTGGGTGTGATGATGTTTTCTTGTCATTCTAGCTCTAAGGAGGAAACCAATAGGTGGATCATAGTACAGGCTGGTTTAAGCAGAACTTATCTCAAAAGGAATCTAAGCAATAAGGACTAGGGTATGGCTCATTTAATAAAACACACAAGCATATGAGGTCTTGTGTTGAAACCCCAGTAATAAGCCCCCAAAATAAAGGTAACTGTAGACAAAGAAAGCCATCACAGTGACCAAGAAGAAGCATGTAGCAACTCCTTTTACTGTCCTGTCCATAAACTCTCAGGTCTACTGGCTGTAAGGCAGGATTTGTGACTCCGTCTGTCTGAGGACCTTTGGCTGTTGGATGACATTGTCTCAACAGTGTTAAGCCACAAGTGCTGGGCTCTTGATACCTCTTTTTTCTCATCCTGCTGCAGAAGCTACAAATCACAAGCAGAGAAGGACTGGGGTGGGTGTGTAAACACATAAGATCTCTCAGCCCTTTATCTAGCTCTGGGCCCATTCTTCACACTGACCCCAAAGTTTTCCAGCACAACTGGCAACCGACTCAATAGAACATCAGTTATTGGCTTCCTTCCATTTTTAAAATTTAACTTTTCTAAACTATAGGGTGCTTCATTGTTCTGCCTCTAAATGATTGAGAAAAAAAAAAGCTATAGATAAGGTAGTCTGAAGATCCTACGGTTAGCTATGCCTTGGGATGTTGGGGTGTCACATAGGAATAAGGATACTGGATACTAACTTGGCCAGGAAAAGTTGGCTTCTGCAGATGGGTGCATCAGTCAAGAATTTGAAAAGCAAGCACACAGAACAGGCAGGCTGCTCCCTTTTTATCCCTAACCTAGTAAGGCCCTGAACCTCTGCTCAGATTGGCTGAGCTCAGGTTCACAATCTGCAGAAAGATTTGGTTTAATTAATAGAATTTTAATTCAGTGAGCTAAGATGTCTTAGCAGGAAAAGGATGTAATTAAAATGTAAACAAGAAGTGCCAAGCCACCTGGCCAAAGCAGGGACTTTTCAAAAGCAAGTTTCCCAAGACTGACAGAAAGGAAGCAAACCACTCTGATAGCAAAGACAGCTTTTGTTGCACTGCTGCATCGGAATTACCTTTCCCTCCTGCCTGGGTTTGTGTAATTAGATTTATCTATTACTCTGTGTTTTTCCCATTGCTTATGTAATCTTTCACACTTTGTGTTAAGATTTTTGTGGCCACAACTTAAAAAAAAAGGATTGTTAACACATATTTTTTAATGCATACTTTTTTAAACTTGTCTTTTTACTAATAATATCTTGGAAGGAATTGCTCTGTCTAAATTATAACTTGTTATTCTTTGCATAGCTTATAATGAATGTTTCATATTATGTTATATAAAACTTAGCCATTCTTATATTAATGGGAATATTATCTCTTACTTATTCTTGGTCATTTTAATGTGGCATCTTTGAATATGTGTCATTATTTCATGATGCTTTTATTTCTGTGGTCTAGATTTTCAGGAGTAAAATTGTTGGGTTAAAGGGATTTTATATTTTTTTATTTCAGTCGATGTTGCCAAATTGCTTGCCAGAAGTGCTCCACCAAGAACATGTGAGAATTCTTTCTCCTACATACCTGCCAGCAATAGGGTTATTACTCTTTCAAAAGTTTGCCAGGCCAGTAAGGTAACATTTTATCATTGTTACTTATTCCCCCCACCCCCACCCCACCCCCAATACCAGAGCTTGACCTCTGCTTAGCTAGGCCTCACCTTGGCTAGGCTTCCTTATTCCCTCTCAGCTAGTGTTCTACCACTTGAGCCATGTCTCTAGCTTGGCTTTTTGCTAGTTAATTGGATGCAGAGGTTCCTCAGCTTTTCTGCTTGGGCTAGCTTATAACTGAAATCTAGGATTACAGTTCTAAATCACCTGTTCCCAGCTCGTTATTACTTTTTAATTTGAACTTCCTTGGGTATTAGACATTTGGTTTTATTTTCTCAATTGCTACTTGATAACATTTACATAAATTTTACTTTCATTGCTTTTCAAATTACACAAACTTACTATGTGTTTAAAACAGACTTTGTTTTTCATTTTACAAGCATTTTTCCCTTTTTTCTAAAGATAGAATGGTTATTTTATTTATTTATTTATTTCTGTCAGTCATGGGGCTTGAACTGTGGGCCTGAGCACTGTCTTTGAGCTCTTCAGCTGAAGATGAGCACTCTACCACTTGAGCCACAGAGCCACTTCTAGTTTTCTGGTGGTTAATTGGAGATGAGTCTCCTGGCCTTTCCTGCCTGGGCTGGCTTTGAACTGCGATCCTCAGGTCTATAAATGTGAATTTTTTATAGTTTACAGTTTGGAGTTGTAAATGTTTCCCAAATTCTTTTCTACCTGATAGTGATTTTTTTGCAATTTATTTTCATGTTGAGTTTAGTATGTTGAATAACCAAGCATTTTTGTTTTAGACTATCAGCTCTTAAAAAAGATTAAACCATCTTATGTTGGCTTGAGTGATCGCTCCCTTTTTTTCTTAAAATTTCATATTTATTGAATCCCCCTTCTTTTTTTTTTTTTTTTTTTTTTTTTTTTTTGGTACTGGGGATCGAACCCAGGACATTGCACTTGCTAGGCAAGCGCTTTGCCACTGAGCTACATCCCAGCCCTGAATCCCCCTTCTTAAGTACTGTTTTGCCTAATATACCCATTTTTGCTATTTTATGAAGTATGTGTTTTTGCTTTTGTTCTGTACCATTTGTTTCTATATATAAATTTGAACATTTTTCCTTAAAAAATTTACAAAATTCTACTAACGTGATCATAATTTAGATTAGATGAAACTAATGAACAGCAATCAACACTTGCCCTTTTTTTTTTTTTTTGGCTGGTCCTGAGGCTTGAACTCAAGGCCTGGGAATTGTTCCTGAAATATATTGTTTACAGCAAGTGCTCTACCACAAGTCACAGCTCTACTTCTGGATTTTCTTTTGGTGATGAATTGGGGGGAAAAAAAAGAATTTCATGGACTTTTGGCCTGGGCTAATTTTGAACTGTGATCCTCACATCTCTGCCTCTGTATAGTTAGGATTATAGATGTGAGCTACTGGTGCATAGTGAGTTTATTATAGTAGTTTTTGTGCCTTTTAATAATATATAGGCTGGCTCAGTGACTCAAACCTGTAATCTCAGCTACTTGGAAGGTGGAGATGGGGAAGATTTCAGAGACTAATCTGAACAGAAAGTTAACTGAGGCCCAGCAGCAAGAAGCTGGGCATGGTGGTACAGTCCCATCTGTCGGGGAGGTTACAGGGAGGAGGATCCTGATCTCAAGATGGCCTGGGCAAAAACTTGAGTCCCTATGGAAAAATAACTGTCAAGGGAATAGATGTGTGTGTGTTGGGGTATGACTCAATTGGTAAAGTTGTCTACCTAACAATCCGGAGGCCCCGAGTTCAGACTCCAGTACCACCAAATAACAGAAAAGAATATACTGTTTTTCATATGAATCTGAACTTGCTAAATTTCTTGAAAATTTTTACATAAGTATTATAGTTGTTGAAAATAACCTCATTTCTGTGTGTTAGATTTTTGTGTCCATTTGACCTATACTTACTTTTAGGCTGAGCGATTTTTTATTTGCAGGCAGAGAGTACAAAATAAAGGTACTAGCAGGTTTGGTGTCTAGTGAGGCCTTGCTGTTTACTTCAAAGGATGAGCTTCTTACTCTCACTGGGCAGAAAGAGCGGAGCAGCTTCTTTCGGTCTTTCTTAAGAGCAGACAGTAGTTCCCTTCATCATGGCAGAATTCTCATGACTTTAACCACTTCTCAAAAGATTCTGCCTCTTAATATTTTCATACTGGGTTTTAAGGTACCAATTTTGCAGGAGCTACCAACATTGAGATCATAGGACAAACTTTCCATGATAAAAGTTATTGATTTTTATATATTTCTCTCACGTTATATTCGGTGGAATGTAACTGTGGAATGAGTATTGAATTGATGTTATAGCCTGGGTAAACCTTGGAAATACTGTGCTAAATGAAAGAAGGTACCCAGAAGCTAATATAATTGGTGGTTCCATGTTTATGAAATGTTTAGAATTGGCAAATGCATCAAGAAATAAAGTGTATTATTAGTGATTATTAGGGAATACAAATGGGAGGATAGGGAGTTACTGCTAATGAATATAGTTTATCTTTTATTCATTACCTCAAGTTCATTGAACAAGGGGATTCATTGTGATACGTACATACAGGCATGTAATGTACTCTGATTAAACTTACCCCTTCTATTCCTCTTTCTTGGCCCCCACTTTCTCCATCCTTTTAAAAGTTTTTGAACAACGCTCAAGCCCAGAGTTCAAGCCCCATGACCGACAAAAAAAAAAGTTTTTGGTGGGTTTTATTATAGTATTTTCATACACATTTGATTTACCCTGAACTGAAATGTCTGAAACATTTACCTTCTCTCACTCTGTCCTTTCCCACTCGTCTCCTACTGGTTCCTTGAAAAACAGTCTCTTTTGGACCACCACATCACATTACTATTAGTTTTTGGAGGTCTGGATTCTTTACATGAGTAAAAACATAGGATTCTTTTCTGTCTGATTTAGCTTATCTTGCTGAACGTGATAACCTCCAGTTCCTTCCAGATGACATAATTTCACTCTTCATTGCTGAATAATACTCCATTGTGTATATATGCTACATTTTCCTTATTTAGTCAGTTGTTGGGCACTGATACTGATTGTATAGTTTATCTATTACAAACATGGCATTTGTTTTAGAACAACTAAAAGTATTATGGAATTAGATTAGTAGTGCAATGGTTATACAATCATGTATATTAGGTGTATTTTAAGGACTACTGAGTTACATAGTTTAATGGAGTAATTTTATGGTTTGTCAGTTATTTGAATTTTAAACAGGAGTAACTAGTTGTATCACGTTTAATTTGATAAGAGGTCATGGAAAAGCAGACCAATGAGCTTGATAAAATTGAACGTTTGTTTTACGTACTAGGTGGAATTCTGTCCTTGTTGGTATTGATTCACTGGTGCACTATGAGAACAGACATCTCCATGATCAATTCTTGGCCTTTGTCTCCTGTTTATGTGTTTTGTAGCTCTAGACATTGGGAGAAAGCTAACTGCTTAGGAACAGGAACTGCCCTAGGAACTTATAAGGCACCTTCCCATCTCAGTGGTTCTAGCATGCACATTGTCATGTCAATAGTGACCTAGGATGAGGGTCCAGGCTCTGTGGCTTTGGCCCTGTCATGCCTCACTGGTCCTCAGGAGAGGTGGCTCCCTTCCTGCCTTGCTAACTGCCAGGCATGATGCCATGCTGTCATGTATGTTGCATGCATACAACAGAGCCCATTTTTCTTCTCCATGTGTTGTGTTCCCGTGGTAAGGCCTGTCTCGTAACCCAGTTCACAAGACAGCCCCTTAATGGTCACAAATGCAGAGGGATAGGAAGTAAAATCACTTTTTAGGTCGGCGTATCTCTGGATAATTCCTTTGTTAGCATTAGCAAGAAATGTTAGAATACACTATCAAAGATAGGCCCTAAAAACAGAAGCGCTTTTGAATCAGGAGTTTAATGAGAAATGCATGAAAATGAAGAACAAATGAAGCACCAGAGGAAAGTTTCAAGTTCATTTTCTTGCTCTGTGACTTCTGAGGTGGTTAGACGCTGGCTGACTCACGGAATCCAGATCCCAACCAAGTATATTTCTGGAAAGTCATGGAAACACCCGGAAATGCCTTTTTTTTTAACCCCCCCTTTCCTTCTTGTTATCGTCACCAAAGTAAAGGTGGAAACTATTTATTTATTTATGTTTGCTGGTCCTGGGGCCTGAACTCGGCCTGGGCGCTGTCCCTGAGCTCTTCAGCTCAAGGCGAGTGCTCTACCACTTGAGCCGCAGCGCCATTTCTGGTTTTTTCTGCTTATGTGGTGCTGAGGAATGGAACCCAGGGCCTCATGCATGCAAGGCAAGCGCTCTACCACTGAGCCACCTTCCCAGCCTCAGAAACAGTATTTTTAATCAATGAGTGTGTTTCGTTGCCACAGAAGATACTAAGTTAGGGAAGTAGATGCTATAAGTTGATTAAGGCTTCATAGAGGATAAATCCTCTGTAATCACTAGCCCAAGAGGCACTTGGATCTTTTTGTACTTCAGCATGGTAAATGTGTGAGTGTGATATGACCACATTATACACTCAATGGTAAAGAACTGGAGTCTTGTCTTCTTCCGTTCCAGACAAGATGAGAATCATCCTGCATCACGTTCAGCTTGAGTACTGAAAGTCCATGCCACAGTAATAGGGAGTGGAAGGAAATGAATGGTGTCCAAATCCAGTCTCATATTCAGGCTGTTAAAAAGGAAAGAACTTAAAAGACATTCAGAGGGAGAGGTGGTATTGTCACTGTCTCCTGACAAGCGTGACTTTGTATCTTGAAAACCCTGAATGTACCTGGAAAACTCAGCATTTCTTGAAACTCCAAAGAACATTTATTCCAACATACATTGGTAGATACAACTGTACTTAAAATACGAGTTGATTAAAAAGAAAAAAATGAGCCAGGCACCAGTGGCTCACACCTGTCATCCTAGCTACTCAGGAGGCTGAAATCGGAGGATAGTGGTTCAGAACCAGCCCAGGCAGGAAAGTCCATGA